GCTAGCTGGGTGCTGGCAGGCTTGCACCTGGCACGGGCACTGTAGCCAGCCCGTGCCCCTTTAAGGGGTCCAAGGCCGGGAGGGGGACAATAGAGTTTCCCTGGTGTTGGCCAGAGTGGCCACCAGGGAAAGCTGGGGAGGGCTAGCCTCCCACTAGTTCGAATTAAGGGGCTACACACCCCTTAATTCGAACTAGTAAGTTTGAACTAGGCTTAGTCCTCGTAGAATGAGGTTTACCTAGTTCGAACTAAGCGCTCCGCTAGTTCGAATTAAGTTCGAACTAGTGGAGTGCTAGTGTAGCGCCTATCAAATTTAATTCGAACTAACGTCCGTTAGTTTGAATTAACTTTGTAGTGTAGACATACCCTTAGTGACAGATGATGTGGGAGTAGCTGAAGAACTCAATGCTTTCTTTGCCTCTGTCTTCACAGACAAGTTCAGCTCCCAGACTGATGCACTAGGTAATGCAGTATGGAAAGGAGATGGGCAGCCCTCTGTGGAGAAAGAATAGGTTAAGAACTATTTAGAAAAGCTGAACATACACAAATGCAGGAGTCTGGATTCAATGCATCCGAAGGTACTGGAATTGGCAAGTGTCATTGCCGAGCCTTTGGCCATTATCTTTGAAAACTTGTGGAGATTGGGAGAGATCCTGGATGACTGGAAAAAGGCAAATGTAGTGCCCATCTTTTAAAAAGGGAAGAAGGACAATCCAGGTAACTACAGACCTGTCAGCCTCATCTCAGTCCTCAGAAAAATCATGGAGGGGATCCACAAGGAATCCATTTTGAAGCACTTGGAAGAAAGGAAAGTGATCAGGAATAGTCAACATGGATTCACCAAGGGTAAGTCATGCCTGACCAACCCGATTGCCTTCTATGATGTTGTAACTGGCTCTGTGGACATGCGGAAGTCGGTGAACATGACATAACTTGACTTTAGCAAAGCTTTTGATACAGTCTCCCATAATATTCTTGCCAGCAAGTTAAGGAAGTATGGATTGAATAAATGGGTTATAAGGTGTCTGGAAAGCTGGCTAGATTGTTGGGCCCAACAAGTAGTGATCAATGGCTTGATGTCTGGCTGGCAGTTGGTTTCAAGTGGAATGCCCCAACGATCGGTTCTAGGGTCAGTTTTGTTCAACATCTTTATTAATGACCTGGATGAGGGGATGGATTCCACCCTCAGCAAGTTTGCGGATGACACTAAGCTAGGGGGAGAAGTAGATATGTTGGAGGGAGGGCAGAGATAGGGTCCAGAGTGACTTAGACAAATTGGAGGATTGGGCCACTAGAAATCTCATGAGATTCAACAAAGACAAGTGTAGAGTCCTGCACTTGGGACGGAAGAATCCCAAGCATAGTTACAGGCTGGGGACCAACCAGTTAAGTAGTAGTTCTGCAGAAAAGGACCTGGGGGTTACAGTGGATGAGAAGCTAGATATGAGTCAACAGTGTGCCCTTGTAGCCAAGAAGGCTAATGGCATATTAGGTTGCATTAGGAGGAGCATTGCCAGCAGATCTAGAGAAGTGATTATGCCCCTTTATTTGGCTCTGGCGAGGCCACATCTGGAATATTGTGTCAGTTCTAGGGCCCCCCAGTATATAAAGGATGTGGACACACTGGAGAGTGTCCAGCAGAGGGCAACCAAAATGATTAGGGGGCTGGAGCACATGACCTTCGAAGAGAGGCTGAGAGATTTGGGCTTATTTACTCTACAGAAGAGAAGAGTGAGGGGGGATTTGATAGCAGCCTTCAACTCCCTGAAGAGGATGGAGAGAGTCTAGTCTCAGCGGTGACAGATGGCAGAACAAGGACAATGGTCTCAAGTCGCAGTGGGGGAGGCCTAGGTTGGATATTAGGAAAAATTATTTCACTAGGAGGATGGTGAAGCACTGGAATGGGTTACCTAGGGAGGTGGTGGAATCTCCATCCCTAGAGGTTTTTATGTCATGGCTTGACAAAGCCCTGGCTGGGATGATTTAGTTGGGGTTGGTTCTGCTTTTGGCTGGGGGCTGCACTTGATGACCTCCTGAGGTCTTTTCCAGCCCTGGGATTCTATGATTCTGTGAAATGGTTCTGTCAAATTATATGTAGGGGGAAATATTAACATTACATTAAGGTTGATGTTTTAATTGCATAAGAGTTGAGAAATTCAGTGTATGTTTTTATGCTATGTGGCTGCATCATACCTGCTATAGAAACCTAAATGGGAATTTTGCCTGAGTAGGGATTGCATAATTTTGCCGTAAGCACAGTAACACAAAATACTGTATCAGTAATAAGGGTCTGAGTTCAAATTACAAGAGAAAAAAATCTACTTTTCTAACACAGGAAAATTGAGATTGAAACATTGTTATAATACACAGACCTAATTATGTTTACTCTATGAAAATCCAGTTCTCTGCTTCTGTATGTCTTTTTACACTGACCTTAGTCACAATAACAGAAGCACAACAACTGAAGGAAATTATGTTGGTTATAAAGCACAATTGTAAAAATGCCTTCGATTTGAATTAAAATAATGGAAAACTACAAGCAAGGATTAAATACAAAAATATACAATGAATAAGTAAAGTCAAAAATATACAATGAATAAGTAGAGGGAAAGGATACGCATAGGATAGCACAAGTTTTGAAACAAATTCATTAGAGGGAAAGAATATGCATAGGATAGCACAAGTTTTGAAACAAATTATCTAGGAAGAAAATCATTCAGGACCAAAAGTAAATGTCACTGCTTAATAAAAAAGTATATGCACTATAAAAGACAAAGAAAAAAGCTTTTGGTAAAGATGAATTAAAGGTGGGACAAGGTCACAAATTTTGACCATCTGAATTTTCTCAGTGTTTGGGGCTCGGATTCCATAAACTATTTTTTGCCATTCTTTTGGAGGATAATGCCGACTTAAACATTTTTCATTTCATAATTTTTCCTGAAAAGCAAGGGCCTTATCAAAAGAGAGTAGAAAGTCTTTCATTGACTGAAAGGGCATTGGGTCAGGTCCTACATGCTCAAAATTCTGTGCCGGTTTAACACACATTGCACGCATTGACATCAGTAAGGGGACTAAACTGTTTCATCACTCAGTGGAGTCTGATTTGAGATTTTCTAAATAGAATTATAGGTCAAAAGAAGCTGGGGGAGGGCAGAGTGAGGAGGAGAAGGGGCAGAGAAACTGCTTAAGGAAATAAGATCAGCGGGACAAACAAGACATCAGACAACTCATGCTGCTTTTTTTCCTATTGTTTCCACAGCACATGGGCCTTGTTTTGTTTCTGTTCACCATTGTTATCTGAAGATATTAGTACTTTAAAAAGAATTCAATTACCATTTGTTATGGTCCTTATCAAAGCAAGGTTGCAGCTACCTTACCCTTTGACTGCAGTAGGAAGTTCATTCTGGCCATGCCTATACCGAGGGAGAAAGTCGACTTAAGATATGCAACTACAGCTACAAGAATAGCTAGAGTCAGCATACCTTAAGTTGAATTTCTGTAGCATCCCCACTGTGAAAAGTCGATAGGAGAAACTCTCCCGTTCACTTCCCTTTCTCCTCATGACCCTGTAGAGTACTAGGGTCGGGGTTGGGCCCATCAGCAGTTGATTTAGCGGGTCCTTACTAGCCTCAGTAAATCAAACCCTGGAAGATCGATCTCTGGGTAAGTATAGATAAGGCCAAATAGTGAAGGAGTGCTCTGTAGAAGAATACATTAGGGAACAGAGCATACCACATATTCTCTTTAAAAAAGAGACAGTGCTGGGTTTGGTTCATATAACATGGCTCAGAACACAAAGTGTTAAAGTACTGGCAGTCATGCCATATTAGGTTTGCAGAAACTAAAACAGTGAGATGAAAGGTTAAAGACTTCCTCCAGGTGAAGAATATCCCTTAGCTTTTCTTGAGCCAACAAAGATACAAGGAAATGAAGACACTTGTATCTGAGGCTTTGGACCACTGGGTGCCAGTATACCGCCAGGCTGCTTGTGCTAAGGCTGGTTTAGCATGGCACTAAATCTGCAGAAACAATTTGCTGAGCAAAAGCAGGCTTCCTTCCTATTATATTAGACGATTAACTGCTACCTGTCTCTCAATAACACAAACATTGGCACAGTAAAAGTCAACAAGGCAATAGATTGGAGGGAACCCAATCCATTACATAAGCAGTACAAAGGCAAGTGCTCTGGAGCCAAATCTTACAGATGCAGACTGCACGTCAGGGATACATGCAAATGTGAGAGTTAGGTTTACAGTAATACCCAAGCATATATGAAAACCTGGTTACACAGCAGCTTGTTCAAGGGTTTCAGCTCTGGCAGTCATGCCATATTAGGTTTGCAGCCTTTGTTAGGTACCTTTCATTTGCTATCGACGGAGAAAATGCCTGACAGGATCAGGCCAAGTGCTACTGTCTTACCTCTGGCAGTGGCGAATACCAGAAGTTTCAGAGAAATATGTAAAGTTATGGAGAAAACTGCCTAGAGAGAGAAGGGAACTAACAGTAGATTTATACCATGAAAGCTGGAAGGCAGTTTTCACTCTTGTATATTAAATAATCCCCAGAGAGATGTTTTTATTATCCGTATAAATGTGCAATCCTTTTCTAAATCCCATTATGCTGTCTGCCTCAGTAATCTTGTGGCAGGGAATTCCACAGTTTCATCATGTTAACACACTTTTCTTTCCAGCGGTTTTAAACGTGTGGAAGCATGACTAGAAAAATGGGACAAATCTGGGTTTCCTGATGATAATGCTTATCACGCCTTTTTGGGATGCTCAGTTCCTACTGACTTGTATGGATGTTTGGGGTGTGCAAAGACTGCAGAAGCAAGCCCATACTGCCTAACCATAGAGTGAATATATTTGTAATCACAGTGAAGACTCGTGTTTGGATGGTGCATTGCAGAAGGCAAGGAGTGGAAATAGGGGAACAGCATTTTTGTTCCTTGGAGTGAACTTAATATTTATCTACCAGTTTTCTCTAACACAACTTCCAAAAGAGAAGTGAACATGTTTTTAGTTAACATGCAGTAAGCTTTTCTGAAGCTTGGGATATTTGGGAGGCATTGGGAGAAAAGAAAATGCTGGCTAGCCAGACAAATCCTTGCTCATCTAGATCCAACGCTGGAGATCACCACGGTATAGAACCTTATTGTTCTGTACTAAGTATCAGTGGCCTTCCGTAGTTATAACTACGGCAGAATTCCTCTAGGAAGTGTTGAGGAATTAATGAAATAGCTAGTCAGCTACCTGGAAAAGGGTACAATGTACACACCCCTCTATGCCTAGCCAACTCTGCTGGCTAGTGCAGGGGAAGAAAAGGGACAAACCTCAGTCAGCCAGGATAGCTACTGCCAATGGAATATGCTAGAAAGGGAGATGACCTGTGCTCTTCAATGGGATCGTGTCCCATCCCTGTGCATGGGCACAAGGTGGGAGAAGACCAGGCACAACTGTGCCCTTAATGACACTCATTGTGACCTGGGAGAAGTATCTGGCAGAACCAGTATTAGCCCTAAATACTTGTTCCCCGGTCTCATCACTAAGCTGCAATGGATTTGCATGTATTTTTCTAACAAGATCGACTCAAACAGAATTTTTATTTTTGAAAATTCAGTTCACCTTTGAATAAATTAATTTCATTGCATGGATGAAAGGACAAATGCCCTTTAAAAGTGTGAGTCCTCCGTTTGACATTTCCTTGTCTGTGACACAGAAGGAAAAATGTATGCACTCGAGCAAAGGGGACTGGGAAGTGAATAAATTACAAACTATTTTCAGAAGAGTGAGTTCTATTTTTCCAGCTCAGTAAACCAAAAAACCCTCATCCATATAACAAGTCTTATCCTGGAGACTTTAGTTATTAACAAAACCCACTAAAGTCTGGAATAAAGTTCACAGCAACAGACATATACATGCCAAGTGTTCTTTCATAAATTTATTTCCAGAGTGTAAATAAAGTATATTCTGTGTTTCACACTTTCCTAATAGTAGTGATATATGATTCAAGATCTAATTTTCACTTACAGGGAAACAGTTCATCTTCAGGAGATTGTCGTGGGATTTAAATGTATTTTAGTATCGCTCTCTGCATACATGTTAAGCCTTGTTGTGGCTTTGAGAAGTATAGTTTCCTTTTTTCTCTTTTAAGGGGCAGCATGATTTTCTATGGAAATGATCTGGTTTGTTCCACGGTGTTTAAAATATACAAAACATTTGGAAAGATTCTGTGAAGCTAACAGACCAGCATCAGGGCTTTTTGCAAGTACTCCTCTCGAAGAGACCAGAAGAATTCAACATGCAATTTAATTTGTCTAACAAGACTAAACAAGAAAAGACAAAGGAAACAACTAAAACCTTACTGCTCTCCTGGTTGAACTAGTGGATTCAGTTTGAAGCTAAGTTATGAGAAGTGTCCATGTTTAACAAAGCATTCCCTGTGTGGTTCAGAGTGCTTTAATCACCCGGCTTTATTGTTATGAATTTACAGTAGAGCAAATTATATATACCAGAAAAATAAACAGAGCAGAAATTCTGAAAGTCAGCTATATAGGTTCTGCCATCACAATAAGCTCCATATGTCTGATGGAACTTGTTACTCCTCACATCAGCTTGACCTTTTTTCAGAGCTTGCTTTCATAGGGCACTTTCTTTGTGGTTGGGGCCAGAAGCAA